GGGATAAGACTTGTTGGACGCGCACGCTCAGGCACGCAACGACGCGCGCGGTCGATGGTTTTAAAAACACGACTCAGTCGTGCACTCTGCATTCATACCACAGAAATAATAGAACATACGTAGCACAAGACAAGACGAGTGCAAGGAATAGAGAAAGCAACGGTGAACGGACTGGATGAAACAATAATGTTACATGGGCAACGGAAATTGATTGAGATGCATAGCGGTTCGAGAGCGATTACAAATGTAGGCATAGTCATGGGGGAAAGCATTCGAGACAGTCCTAAGTGAGCATTATCAGTCAAATCAATGACTGCCTATACAGGTGCACCATGTTGCTGCAAGAAGTTTATGGCCCAGTCCCTCGCGAACAAGCTTGCCTTGAGGAACTTCTTGTTGGAGTACTTCTTACAGACGAAATCGTTCTCAAAACCGGGCTCAACCAGGTTCTCGAGAATAAGATGGAAGCCTGGGATGAGCTGTTCTTCGGTGAAGTCGGAGTAGAATACGAATGCATCATCCTGTAATGACGGTCAGCACCTTACGATACTAGTACTGAAAGGGATCACTGACCCATACGCCTGAAAGCATCCTTTTAGATGTGTACATACCGACAGCAGCGATCAAGCTCGGCTTCGCGCGCAGGAAGCGATGGTCGAGCAAGGTCACTTCCATCAGGAATTTGCATAACGTTCGCGTCTGGATGTCGTAGTCATCTGCTTTGCTGATGCGTCGCACCCAGCTGTATGGAGAGCAGTAGGGAGAGATATTGAAGTCGAGAGTCTGTAAGGTACGTTTAAGTAAGGAGTATCGGGCTCGCTCTCGTCTCGTTCTCACCTGAAGGATAATCTTTTCTCCCTTCAAGATTTCCTCCCTGGTGTACCCATTCTCCGTCATGAAGGCAAACTCTTCGACTGAAGGTGCCATAATTTCCTCGTACTTGCTGGCAATAAACATAGCGGTGACACCAACCAGCTGTAACTTCACGAGGGAGACGACGCGGCAGGAGAGAAAGCGGTCGATGAGATTCACAGCAATCCACAGCGTCTCGGGAAGCATGTGGTAGCGCAGATGAACTTGGAGGAGCCAGTCGATGAGGGTCTTTCGCATGGGCCACTTGATTTCAGTCTGGCCATCCATGTAATTAGGGTTGGCCATAGTTTGTCCCTACAGAGTAGGTTCAGTAAGGGTCTCCAGTTATTACAACACGATACGTACCTCTAGTTTGCCCATGTACTCGAAGATTTCATCGGCATATTCAGACACCATGGTCATGTCGAACTCGTCGACTTCGTCTGTGAAAGCGGCCTTGACTTGTTCGATCACAGCTTGATACCGTGCGTTCGAGGCAGGAGAGGCCATTGTCCAGTCATCTTCGTCAACTTCTTCGACCTCGTGCGGTAATTCGTTGTGGGCATGGTGAGGTTCGACATGGTCGTACACCTCTTCTTCGTTGTTCTCTTCAAGCTCATCCATCACCTCACGAGCATCTTCAATATCAGTTTCAATGACTTGTTCGTCGTCGGCGATGTCCATAACATGATCCTCGGTCTTCTCAACCGCGACAGGTTGGGGAGCGACGACAGGTCGAGCACGAGCAGGGAGAGGGCGGACTGGAGCCCCGTTGGCATTCTGAGAGACACCAACGACGACTGATTGGCTACGCGCATGAGGCCGGATGGGAGGTCGAGTCCCAATGGAAAGCCTTGATGCGACAGGGCGTTGAGCGACGGAAGACGCAGATCCCGCACGGCGATGTGCCGTAGCAGTTGGCTTCTCTACGACATCGACGATGGCCTTTCCCTTCAACCCTGCCTTCCCCTCCAGACCTTTACGATTGTTGCTGACGTCTCCCAAGGCCGAACGAGCGGCACTTTGGACAACAGCCTTGGCAGCAGCTATTCCAGCTGAGGCTTTGGACGTAGGGTTCTCATCCGTAGCCTTTTTGGTTCGTTTCGTTGTAATCTAAGTGGCGGATATCGTTGTGAGCGACAGCCATGGGTGGGGAGGGCGGGGGTGGTCAACAACCAATCGAACATGCTATTGGTGACACCCTCGGAACGAAAACGACTCACTCGTCGGTTTCCAAGCATATCTTACACTGTTCAGGATGAAAGATGAAATAGCCAGACAAGGCAAGGTGGATGTACGAGAGTAGGGATCCGAGTTGGACTATGGACTGAGGGTTGAACTGGGGGTTACGGCAAGAAGAACAGGCGACGCGGTAGGAATAACGTGAAGAATAGCAGCTGAGGCTCGTAGACGAGGTCTCTCAGCGGTGGAAGACGATGGAGGAGGGAAGGTGGGGGAGGGAGAGGACGGAAGGAGGAACGAACTCAGGTCCGTTTTCCCAAACTGAAGCCATCGCGCATAACATCACGTGATCTTCCCTTGTTCTGAGCCCCGACGCGCTCGACCCGCCAAAACAACACGTGTATCACATACAAAAGGTTCTGGTAACTGTTTACGCCCCAGATTTCCAATAAGCAATGTCCCCGTCCACCACTAGACGCGTCAAACAGGTTAGTTTTGTCACCGACCAGATGAGTGTGGTGCAACTGACTCTCGTATGGCTTTCCCTGTTGGCGGAGCTTACCAGCCTTTGAAAGGGACTCAGCCCCATCCACATTGAAGGTCGCAATATACCACTCACCGCCTTCACGTTCGCCTCGCTACCGTGTTCCTTGAGGTCGTCGTAGGACATGATTTCGCCGCAAACAAACTTGTTCTCAAAGTCAGAGCTGAAGAGTAATCAGTCACCAATCCGGCCACCTAAACGGTAGACACTGACTGGATAACACCAGCCGCTTGAGGGGCCTTTGTCCCCTTTCTGATCGTCCAGGCTCGCACCTCGTCTGGCCCACAGGTGAAATAGCGAATAAGCTGCACAGGATACCGACGATCAGCAGTCGACGCATCAGACAATTGTACGAACATACGTCTAGTCCAGAGTACCCTGCGGTGGTAATTTTCCCCAAGGTGCTCACAGCCCCGTTCGCTGCCTCCTCTGCAAGTTCATCGTCACTCAAAGACGTCAGACGTTCTTCAAGGGCCACGCTAAAGGGAATCAAGGGGTCTCCTGGGTTGTTCTCGTCAATCCACCCTTTGATCTTTGGGAGCCTATGAAGAAGAATTAACACGTGTCAGGATTCCTAATAGGGACATTCACCATTTATTCTTTTTGCGAATGAAGTCCTTTTCCGAGAGGTTGACCAGATATATGACGGGTTTCGCTGTTAGCAGTTGCAAGCTATTGACGACGTCCACCTAACGGCCTAATTTAAGCGACCATCCGGCCAAGGGAAAGCTTGGCCCCACCTCCTTATTGTTCCACTCCGCTTTCCGGACGTCCCGCCTGTCCTCCTTGATGACCTTGAGAATCTTCTCTACAGTTGCGATCTCCTCTTTCTTGGCCTTATCAGCCAAACTCGTTGAGTTCAGCGCTCTCCCAGTCTTCTTCAAACTCTCAAGGTGTTTCTCAACCCATTCCTGATCCTTCAACCGCAGCTCCTCCCTGATAATTTCCATATCACGAATCGGATCGACATCTCCTTCTACATGGATGACCTCAGCGTCGTCGAATGCCCGGACCATTTGGAAGATTCCATCGACAGCACGAACATGCGACAGGAAAGAGTTGCCAAGACCAGCACCCGTGGACGCGCCCTGCCGATACTCTGTGAGCTGCATCGTCCTCCTTATCACTGGGTGGTGTTTCTTACCGCAGTGAGACCAGCGATATCTATGCACGTAAGAAAGGCAGGGACTTTGCTTGCTGGCTTGTACAAATCACATAGCCATTCAAATCGTGCGTCGGGGACGGGGATGCGTGCCTCTACGATGAATTGGCTTCAGCGGCGAACGTAAGTTGATTACACAATGACAAGAACCTTCTGGGTTTATCGTTGCGTATGGGAAGTTTGCGGCTTTTCCAAGGTCTACGGGCGAAGCGTCGATGAGCCAGAGAAGCAAAACAGACAGCAAGATGCTCACCCGTTTTGGATAAGACATTGAAAAAGGATGACTTTCCAACATTTGGTAAACCTATAATTGATCCGATCAAAACCGCTTCGCAGATGATATGGTGTACTCACCGACAATGCCAATTTTCAAGTTATTACCAGGTCTTCCAAGCAAAATTTTCTTCTCAACGGGGGCGGCCTTTTTGGGAGCCATTCTCTTTTTCACAAGCGAACGTGCAGATGTGCTGAAACGAGAATAAGACTGCCTGACAACGGACGTCGACGATCTCAACTCTGAACTGGTGGTGTATCGTATGGATCGAAATGGGAGACTAGTTGGACCAAAGTGTTGTGGCTTAGAAAGCACAAAACGGCCAAGGGAGTCAGCGGTTGCGTGGTGGCGGGAGAGGTTAAGACGTGGTTGCAGGAAACAAGCGCGACTCATTTGTTAATAAATGGGAATCTAATCGAAATCAATCGACGGAGAGGGGTGTTTCGGGTCTCCCTAACATGACCTGGTAGAAATTCGCACCCTGTCAACATGTATGGCACGACTCTTCACCCCGGTACTAGACTTCTAGGACCCACGCGCCACGGATCATAGAGCCTAAGGCCGGTACTCGGTCTCGAGTTCCTGTCCTTCGCACGCCAAAAAAAAAAAAAAAAAAAAAAAACTAGACTTCTAGGAGCCCATGTAGCTCTTTAATAAAGCTAACGTACTAAATAAAATGATAAAGACACTACCCTTCTCAACATTCAAGATGGACCGTGACCAACCGTCAGAACCGGAATAATACCACCTTCGATCGAAAGCTCAATTACACTTGTGGTAGTCTTCCGCCGCTAGAGCTCCGCTTCGTCAAGGGCTCACTTGGTATCTGTCCGTTTGGAGACTCACGGCAATGGCGAATAGCCGAGTTAACTCACCTGCTACAGCGGGGGAAAGGTCGGATCAGCGATAATACACGATAACGTCGTACACCCGCGACGCTTGCTAAACCCTGACAGAAATTCCGCACGCAAGACCCTTTCAACGGCGACTCGGTGGTGTAGTTGGTTATCACTTCTGTCTAACAAGTAGGCGTTGCCGAAAGTTCACAGGCGGTCCTCAGTTCGAGTCTGGGTCGAGTCAAGTTTTTTTTGCCTGTTCTCCCAGAACCCAAGTGATCGTTCCTGTTTGGTTCCGTGCGAGGTGTACCAACAGTTCTGCCCGGTTGGAGTTACTACTGCTGTTGGTCACATCCTTACTCACTCTGCTACCTCGTCCTTCGGCCCTACCGCGACGTTATGTGGGATCCTCACGTCTCAGGGTCCCCCTGCAACGCACGACCCCGAAACCTATATTCACGTTCGCGTCCCTTCCTGAACTGGTCGAACTTGCTTGATCTTATCGGCCCAAACTGGTCATACTCTCCAGATGGCATGCATTAGGCTCGGTCCCATATCTGTGGCTCTATGAATCCATATGACCTCGGATAGCAGCACCGGGATAGCGTCAAAGTTGAGAATCGATTATCGTAAGAGTGGATCCTACTAGTGGGGGCCGTGTTGACGTGCTCCTGCAAGGCCCAAGGACATTTCTCAGAACCATGCACCATTGAGAGCATGACTGATAAAGCGAGGGTCGAGCCCTTGGGCTGCTCGCCGACAAGCCGCAGGCGAAATTCGGGTTGCGCAGCAAGTTACGCCGCAGAGTCCCCGATTCTCGCACTAAGTCACCATCTGCTTATCCAGAAAACGAGTCCGAGGATTTCTAGGGAGCCGCTTTTATGTACTGGTTGTGGATGTGACGCTGTAGTTTACATAAAGATCAGCTGGAAAACGCGTAGTCAGCCATGACGCGTAAATACGTATAAATAATAGCTCTGTTGGATGATCAACCACCCATGGGTGACCCAGCTTTCTCACCGGCAGACGACCCGAAGGTCACCGACTGCCAGCCAGGCCTGTCATTATCAGTAACAGAAGATCGCTTCACGACGCCCCTTCGACCGAACATACCTGGTTCCAAAATCGACGAAACAGAAAGAGAGGCACTCACTGAAAAATCGCCCGACGGTCAACGATGTATCATTACGCTGTGTAAGGCCCCCATAGATGTCGCTCAAATCCTTCACAAGAGAGATGACAACGTACGTTGGTCCTGGACCCTGCAGACGCGTAGAAAGTCTTTGACTTCGCTTTTCAGCTCCTGAGATGGTGGGGACTGGACCCCGCCAACGCATATACCCGCACGAGAGACAATCTCATGTATCGTAAGATTCTTAATCTGGGTCATCACTATTTGGGTAACGCTAACGCGGTCTAGTGCGACCGGACTTATACAGGGCTTTTAGTTGCTCCTACTGGACCTTGTGGCCCACATCACTCGACGCCAACAAAGTTCTGATTCACGCTCTGAGCGAAACGCTGCCCCGCCCATCGTATAAAACGGTAGAATACGCATCGTATTCTCCAGGTGTATGCATGCTTACTTCTGAATGCCCTCCTAGGTGTTCGGAGACCAAGAAACCTGGGAATACAGTTTCGTCACTTTTGGTTTGTCCAAACTATGGTGCGGAATTCCCCGACCGACGAGGCCTACCTACGAGCATGATACCACCACCTTTCACAAATCTCCATTCTCTACATTCCCGAAGATCACATCTCATGTTCATCCATTTATGATCATCCGCCACAACCGCAAATTCCTGGAGAAGGTACCGGATTGTCCGGAGGAATCGGTTTTGAACTACGGTTCCATTCGCTCTACCATGGAGATCATCAACAAGGCATGGGACAGAGAGTATGAGGTTCCCCAAGACGCTCCAAATCTCGTCCCTGCTTCACGTTCGTCCGCTGACAATTTAGCTGAGCTGCACAAGTCCACGGATGACGGAAAACAAGGCGAGCGCTCCCAACCCAAGCGGACCAACGCCAGCAATCGGCCCTTGAAGCGTAGTGCAGGAGGTGCGCAGGACTTTGAATGTGTCCTCGATTCCGGAATTGAGATCAGTCCATGCGAGAGGAATGGTAAGCGTCGGACGTCCTACGCAACCTGGGACGCCCCCACAGCAAAACGTGTTCGGAAAAACACCAACACCGAATCCGAAAATGCAGATGTACAGATGAGGAGCGCAAAATCCATGGAGCCCAGGTCTAGCGAGACCCAGACTGGTTCAGACGACGATCAGTACATATCCCCTCTCCCTCCGGGATTTGACCCAGGCTACGCAGGATGCAACGTGCACGAATGGCAATCCAAAACCGGCGAGCATGACCCGGAGACTGACGATCAAGAGGACGAAAAGCTTGCCGCATATCGAAAGGAACTCTCCCGTGCGCCACGGGACGATTGGAGTACCTGGCATATTGACTGGACGCCCAAAAGTGGGGAGCAACACTGGCAGGGCCCGAAGACGCGGAAGTTCTCGAGTTTGGACTGGGCCGTTTTCATAGAGGGATGGTATTTGTGCGGGGACGCTCGCCTTGAGGATTCCGACTAAGGTCCATGATACGACAGCTGGTTATAATTCCATGCTAGGACAATTCTTCGTTTGTCTTATGCTGAGATTCGCGTTGTTCCCTCCCTGAAAACGTAGATCAAGATTGTGGCTTGGTTCATAAATTAGAGTGCACCTCGATTGACGATAGGAACTAGCACAAATATGTCTTCTACCGACCTTCATCACCGGTGAAATTCCGGATCTCGGAAGGGCTCGGCCGTTTCGGGCAATTCATCCGAGGATCGCGCAACGGTTGAGCCTTATCGCGAGACGCAAAACGCCTTGCTCTTTCCCCCAAGCCCATTCGCGAAAGGCATAATGAAGCTCGCCCCAAGAGAACTCGACAAACTTATCCTACACCAAACCGGCACCCTCGCCCAGCGTCGTCTCGCGCGCGGATGCAAACTGAACCTCACGGAAGCAACGGCGCTCATCGCCTCCGTTATCCAGGAGCGCATCCGAGACGGCAAGCACAGCGTCAGTCAGCTCATGCAGATGGGAAAGCAAATGCTTGGGCGCAGACATGTCTTGCCGAGTGTCCCGGCACAACTCCACGACGTACAAGTCGAAGGCACCTTCGTTGATGGGTGAGTGATCATCCTCATGAACGCCAGGTCAATCCCACTTACGAAGACTTTCTAGGGTGTTCCTCGTGACGGTACATGACCCGATATGCACCGATTCTGGAAATCTGGAGGAGGCACTGTACGGTTCCTTTCTACCCATCCCATCACACGACCTCTTCCCCCTCGATGAGGCTTCGCTGTATGAAAAAGCTCAGGGCCCGGGAGCTGTCATTGTCAAGCAAGACGCACCGATTACCTTAAACGCTGGTCGCGACCGCGTCAAGCTCAGGGTCACTAATACTGGTGACCGACCAATCCAGGTATGGAAAGCCCCCCATGATAACTGGACTATGCTGAGCAGTGCGATCTGATAATTAGGTTGGCTCGCACTACCACTTCATCGAGACAAATGCTGCGTTGAACTTCGATCGGGGTCTTGCATATGGCAAACGGCTCGACATCCCTGCCGGAACCGCAGTACGCTTCGAGCCTGGCGATGTTAAGACAGTTACCCTGGTGTCCATTGGCGGTAACAAGGTCATAACAGGTGGAAATAGGCTTGCCACTGGCCAGGTCGATCTCACCCGTACGGAGGCGATTGTCAGCGCCCTTATTGCCCGTGGCTTCGGTCATACACCCGAGCCCACCGCACTTGCTATACCATGCGAACCTAAAATTATCAGTCGTCAGACGTACTTGGGAATGTTCGGACCTACGGCAGGCGATAGGGTCCGTCTTGGCGACACAGACCTTTGGGTCGAGGTCGAGAAAGACTTAGTAAGTCCACTGTTGCGACCTTTGGATCTGATCTGACATACGTATTCAGACCGTTTATGGTGACGAGTGTAAATTCGGCGGTGGAAAGACTCTTCGAGAGGGTATGGGGCAGGCAACGAATCGGGCATCCCATCAATCATTGGATCTCGTTGTCACCAACGCTCTCATTATCGACTGGTCTGGTATTTATAAGGTTTGGATTAGCTTCAGAACAATGAACTTGTGTTAACATCCACTTACTAGGCGGATATCGGTGTCTATGACGGCAAGATCGTTGGCATCGGCAAGGCAGGCAACCCGGACGTTATGGACGGCGTCCATCCGACCCTCGTCGTAGGCTCTGCAACCGAAGTCATTGCAGGGGAGAAAATGATCGTGACGGCGGGTGCCATCGATACTCACATACACTACATCTGTCCCCAGCAATGGCAGGAGGTATGCGATCTCACCACCCCTCATCTGACAAAGTGCCAACATCTAGTTCATTCGTAGAGTCTTGCATCCGGTGTGACCACTATGATCGGTGGAGGGACAGGCCCATCGGCAGGGACTTCTGCAACGACATGCACGACATCGCCTTTCTATATGCGACATATGCTTTCAGCTACAGATGGCATTCCTCTCAACTTTGGATTTACTGGAAAGGTCAGATTACTCACATTGGTTGTGTCTACGTGCTAACGTTGAGGACCAGGGTAATGATAGCGGGCCCGAAGCTTTGGAAGACATTGTCAAAGCCGGAGCGGCTGGTCTCAAGCTGCATGAGGCAAGTCGGAGCATTATTTGGGATCGAGTTGGTGTAGTATTGATAAATCGTGTCCGGCCCAGGACTGGGGATCAACACCCTCCGCGATCGCCAACTGCCTCGATATAGGCGACAAGTACGATGTCCAAGTACGTCAGCCAACCCTGGCCAAGATAATTCAGCCTATGCTTACCTTTCTTTCAGATTAATATTCATACCGATACCTTGAATGAAAGTGGATTTGTTGAATGTAGGTATTAAGTGGTCTTGCGGCGCGAATGCTCACCTTCGTCACGTTCAGCTACCATTGCGGCTTTTGGCAATCGTACAATCCATACCTACCACACCGAGGGAGCGGGTGAGTTGGGATACGAACTTCCTGGAAATCTAGCTAAAGGGATCCATGTAGGCGGAGGACACGCACCGGATATTATCGTTGTATGCGAGCTTGAGAACGTCCTTCCATCATCCACAAACCCGACTCGACCATACACTAAGAATACTCTGGATGAGCATCTTGATGTGAGTCGCACCTGCCTTTCTTCCTGCGAGCTAAGAC